ACTAAACTATCTGTTTAAATATTAGCTAAATTACAAAGAATATGATGAAAGGAGATATTAGCAAAGCCACTACAAGCTGCTTTAATATTGAAAAAGAGACAATAAAATCTCTAAAGTTTGACCATCGAATTTGAGAAAAATGATAAATTCCAAGCAATCCGAAAAACATATCAAGTGATTGATACTCGACACTTTTAAGAAATGAACCACTGAAAATAGAATAAAAGGTTCCGTCACTAAGGCGAAGGAGACTGAGGTATCCGAAGAAGATTTTTTGAATAACATGGCATTTAACGGGGATTTAACAACCCAACCTGAACCACAAAGGTAACAATTATCTGACCAAGCAATATCCGAATACATTTGGTAAGTTTCAAAACAAGAAGGAGAGACCAAATCACTTGCCACAACAGGCCTCGGGTGGGATCTTCCAGCTTTGATGTCTAAATCTATTACTAATAAAAGTTAAGATTATATGTCTCTAAAAAAGTCCACATAGGTTTTAAAAGTTCAATTTTATTGGTCCACATCAATATTAAAATTAAAAAAATTCTAAATTTTATAATTATATCATTAACAAAAAATATATTTATAGAATTTAAAAATTCACATTTTATTCATATATATCAAAACTGTAAATTAAAAAATAGTTTCATAATTCTAATATTATTGTTAAGAAAATAATTAAAAACTAAAGAAATTTCTATTAACAAAAAATAACATGATATTAAAATCTTCAATATCACTGTTTAAGTTATAAATTTAATTTGTTATCTATAATAAAAATATATCCTACTTATACAAGATTTAGTTACTTGATTTTAAAGCTTTTCACGTAAAATTTTAAATAACTAATCACTAAGATTTATATTCATCTAAATTCTTGTTATATATGGAAAACATGTTTTCACATAACCTCATGTAATATATTATGTGAAAATAATCGAAAAAATTACATTTTGTATATTCGATTTGGAATTACAATAGATTAATAAAAAATCTTAGTTTTTAGTTTTTTCAATTTGTTATTTATTTTTCTATATTAAAGTTCATGCCCTTCTTTATTTCTAAAGATGGAGTATTAAATTATATCGGTTTTGCCTACTTAATTATAATTAGAAAAAGTGAGAATAAATATAATGAAACTGAATATAATCATACAAAAATCAATAAAAATATATAAATAAGATTGAAAAAAAATATATAACAAAAATAAAAATGAACATGATGAAAAAAAATTTCATTCTTATTAGAAGAGATGATGTATAATCATTGAAAAATTATTTAAAATTTAACACAACCAATTGACAAAAAAAATATTAAATTCACATATTTTGTGTGATTTTATTCATATCATATTCAACTATTATTTTGGTTTCAAAACTAAAGTTGTTAATCTCAAAGTAAATATTTTATTTATTAGTTTGTTTTTTAAATTAATAAATCAAAATAAAATTTTGTATTGTTAAAAAAGAGCAGGAAAAGATTAAATTTTAATTTCATTTTTATAAAATAACACATATATAATTGAAATAAAAGTGAAAATGATGAAATAATAATTTTTTCTTCTTGATTTAAAGAAGTGAATGTATAATATGTTATCATCATGTCAATACTATGTTTAAAAATTGGCATTTGATTAATTTATAAAAATTTTAGGTAGTTTGAGTATATTAACTTATAAATGTTTGATAAAATAACACATTTTTGAAATACGACATATATAGATTCAAAATAAAACCGTTAAAACATCACAATTTACCTTATTATATTAACATTATAATATTTTTAATATATTATCAAAACACTAGTAGATAAAATTTATATCATAATAAATATAATTAATTGTATATAATTTTTATCAACAAAATATCCACGCGTAGCGTGGAAGCAAAATTTAGTATATATTATTAAAATTAATGTTAAGGTCTAAGATTAAGGTTTAGGATTTAGTTTTTATTTTTATTTTTTTAAAAATTTAATATTTGGATTTAGGATTTAGGGTTTAGTTTTTTTTTAAATTAAATATTTAGGTTTAGGGTTTAGGATTTAATATTTATTTTATTTTTTCTTTAATTTATATATTATTATTTAGGGTATATGGATTATAATTTAATATTTAAAATTTAAATTAAAATTTTTTATTATTAATTCGTTTTCTTTATTTTATTTTTAGTTTTTTAGTTTTTTAATTCACTTTAAATCTTACACAACATATTTTGATGGGTTATAATAGAAAAGTATGAATAAAAGGATTCACCCCTATGAATGAATCCAAGAATTATTATTCTTTAAAAAGTAACTAGTGAACTTGCTCACGCCTTGCGTGAGCTGATATAATTTTCCATTTTGTTGTTTGAAAATCTAATAGTAGTCTGAAATCATTCATTTTCTTTTTTATTTTCTATTATTGAGTATATTTATTTATTAGATTTCCTTATATTTTAATGTTTGAAGACATGATTATAAAAACATTATAGAAGAATGTAGAAAAAAAATATATTAGTATCCTAGTAATTTAGTTTAAATAGTTTAAAATCTTTTAATCATTGTTGTATGTATTTAAGACATAGTTTTTTCAAGTACTGTACGAACTCATTTGAAAAATAAGGAAGAGTTAAAAAATTTGGAAAGGGTGTGAGATAATTAGAGAGAAATCATATACATATTTATACTAAAACATTTGAAGTCGAATACACTAATCTAGACATCACAAATACCATCATTCCATTAGACATTCTATCTATTGATTTTTATTTTTTTGTTAAATTTTTTAGAAACGGTTTGATTTGAAATAAAGCATTAAACCATAATAATTTAGAACGGTTTGTTTAAAATTATTTTTAACACATCATCAGATAAGAACCAATAAAAAAATGATATGTAATCGGTAAATAGGGTAAAGATGTCTTTTTACAACCAAAACTCATTATAGAGCTGACTTATAAGCGAAACACTGTGAAAATTACTGTGAACTCGACACGTAAGCAAATCACTACACAAATAAGTATATAGATTAATCCAAATGTCATATTTTGCAGTTTCAATTTCTTATATGTCATTCATTATCTTCATTTACATAATAAATCAGTTAATATCTTTTTTTCTCTCTCTCTTTAATTCCAACGATACACACACACTCTCTCTCTCTATCTTTTATGTTCTTGTTCTTTACTTTTTCAATTTCTTCCACTTCTTCCATAGTCTCTCTCTTTGACAACAATATATTATTTCTTATTTTTTTTTGTTAATTCATCACCCCCATTTGTTTCTTAATTTCTTTGATGAAAAGTTGTTTTCTTCTCCAAATCTAGATCTATATGGTAAAGTTTACAAATATTTTTACCTTTTTATTCTTCTCTTTTTTTATAAATTTAATTTCTTTTTAAAATCATTTTATTGGATTTGTTCCTTCAAGTTTTGTATGGATTTAATCAAGATCCAGTTTTTAGTTTGCGTCTTAAAACTTGTGTTAATTGCATTTCTGAATTCTGAAACTTCTTATCTTCATTTTTGACATTTCCAATCGATATGTTTATGTATTTTTGGTGCGGGGTTGAGATGATAATAAACTTGAGTTAATCGTATTTTTAAAACTGCTCTCTTCATTTATGATTATTCTAAAGAAAATTAATTATGATAAATTTCTACTAATAAATAAAATAGATACATCTTGATATATATTGCAGATATATTATTTTTATTTGGTACTTATCTCTGTGTCAGTTTTGTTGCATACACTTTTTAATCGGGTACTCGAGCTGATAAGGTTTACAGAACACCCACAGTTCAAGCACTTTTGGCAACTGCAGAGGCATTAAAGAAATTCTTGTTTTTACAGAAATTCTTGTTTTTTCATTAATTTATACATTCTTGTTTTTTCAGAGGAATAATATCGCGTATTCCTTGCGCATTAAAGAAATTCTTATATCTTCTCTTCATAATATTTAATTTGTTTTCGATTTATTTTAAAGGAAGAAAAAGGAAGAAAAGCGGTGAAATACATGGGGGTCCTCAGTAAAATTGCATATTTATGAACCCAACCACGAAGATCTACACTCAGTCTGTCATATCGGATTAAATCCAAAGAAATCGGGTCTTCGGTCAAAATTGTGGTAAGTCAACCCCTAAATAGCAATTATACTTGGAAAATTAAAAAAAAATATCAAATTTCGAAATCGTCCTCTCATCGTTGTCTTCGTCTAGTATTCTCTGGGACAACTACGAGTGATTTGCTACTGACTGTCTTGAATCAACGCTAAATCAGGTTCGTTCGTCTTCGTCTTCTGATTTGTCCTCTGATTTCTCTTGTAGATTTGAACTCGATTTTGTGTAGAATCAAAAATTCGATTTATATGTTCTCTATTCGGTTGGTAATTACAAAATAGGACTCATGGCTGGTATCGAAAGAGTGTTAAGATATGCTAGACAAGAACAGTACTCAGATTCCGAATCGTCGCAGGAGAAAATGGTAGAAGGAGTTGCCGATTCAGAGACGGGTAATAATCAGATAGTGTTGTGGCAGAACACTACTGAAAATACAGAAACTGAGGCTGAGGAGGAGGGAAACCAGTTCTTCAAGCCCAGTCACTATCATAATGCAATAAAGCTGGGAACAAGAGGTTATATCCACAAAGCTGTTGCGAAATTGGAGTTCCTAGACCTTGAACGAACCCCACGAGCTGATATGGTTTACAGAACACCCACAGTTCAAGCACTTTTGGCAACTGCATGGGGGCATGCATGAGGATACGACACACAAGATGATGGGAATGTGGTTGCTTCTTCTTTAGACAGCAAACACAAATAAGAAGAGGGAAGCTTGGTTTGTAGTGAATGGCGTACCAATTTGCTATTTCCCTTAGAGAGCATGCCCTTTTGTGTGGATTAAACTGTCTACCGTACCCTGAGGATGAGAGCATAGGAAGTTCTCATTTAAGAATAGATATTTCTAGGAAACCGTCCCCTCCCTTGCTGCTGTTGAGAAAAATCTAGAGTCGATGCGAGAGCTAGCTCATCCTGATCGGTTGAAGATGTGTGTCGCCTACTTCTTATCCTCTATAATTAGTGGGAAAACAAAAAACGGTAAGGGAGCACCATCTGTTGACCCCTTATTCCTGAGGATTGTGGATGATCTTGAGGCTTGTAAAAGGTTTCCTTGGGGTAGGTATTCATTCGATGTAAATATGAAGGATATTGAGCATACAATGAGGCATTTCAAAGGGGTCGTCGAAACAGATGCCTGGACATTTCCAAGCTTTGTTACTCCCTTGGAGGTATGTCACATTATAAAGAATTTGTAAGTATGTAATACTATCAGCTTAAGTGTAATTTGTTGGGTTTATGTGTAGTTGCTAGCTTTTGAGGCCTTCCCATGTCTGAAGAACAAATACAGAGACGAAGTTAGAGGATCAGAGAGGGATTGTCCCCGGATGTGCAGGCAGAAGTTCCAATCATTCACCCTAAAAGGTTTCCCTTTGTCGGAACTCTATGAAACACTGGGTAACACTAAGGTCATCGAGAGTATACTGCAACTATCCGAGGATGCGGTAATTATGCTTGCTGGAGTCATGGAGATGAATGAAGAGGAAGATGTCGGAGATATCGTTCCTGAAAATTGGACGAGGCGTTTAGTTAAGGAAAAGAAGCCGATATTCTGGAAAGAGATATGCAAGATCGATGTTGATGCCCGAGATAATAAGGAGTGGGTAAACCATCCGGCAGCGGCTAAGAATAATGTGGGGACGGAGAATGTGGCGCCTCTTGGATTGGTGGAACAGATTCAGAGCCTGCAGAAGAGTATGGGCGCTCAGTTTCTCCGAATCAGTGCCCGAATGGATGGCTTTGATACAAGACTCTGCTCTGTAGAACAATATGTAAAAGAGACAAGAAGAGAAAGGGAAGGACCAGGAGATGAGGGAGGAGAAATTTTTTGAAATGATGTAGAACTTGAACATGAACAAGGTGGAGAGAAACTTGAAAGTGTGGTGACAACTGAGAAAGCGAGGAAGCAGAAACAGCCGAAGAAGAAGCAGAAGGAACCGGAGCAGAAGGAGGCAGAGCAGAAGGAGGCGGAGCAGAAAGAGCCGGAGATGAATGTCGCGGAGCTGAATGAGGCGGAGATGAAAGAGACGAAGCAGAAGGAGGCGGAGCAGCTTGTAGCCTGATCTCCATACCTGCTTAGAACTAAAGAGGTATTGAAGTTTGAAGAGTAAAGTCTATGGTAATACTTAATATTTTGTGGTAACATTATGTTGTATTACTTGGTATGTGTAGGTTGAACCAGACGGTGCTGACGCTGTGAATGCAGAAGTGGGTACAGGTAAACGGAAACAAGAGCAATCGAAGCTAGGGCCAAACACAAGGCAGAGACGTTAAGTCTCCTTTGACATTTGATATATGTATTTGTATTTGTATTGAACTGTATTAGGGTGTGTACTTCTATTTTTATTATTGATTTTGGATTATTAAAAACTAAATATTGGAAAACTTGGTATTATTGGTAAAACCACATGAAAATTGTATAACCTAGTATTATTTGGTGTAACTATCTTAGTATTATTTGGTGTAACCACTTATATATGCGGAATACTAGGCCTAAACAGTTCGAGTTAAAATTATTATAATAATGTTTATACACAACATAAGGGAGTACAAAACATTACGAATTGTATACATAAGGAATCCAGAACATACAGAAGTACAAAAAACAAAAAAACATAAGACACAAAACAACAGACAAATTCATCAGTTGACCATTTCAGGAAAAACCCTAACTACCCGGTACACATATAGGAAGAACCTTCCGCATTCGCGAGTTAAGAAGCAGTAGTTGCAGATGTTCCCTGGTTTATACTCATCATTCCACCAACGCTCCTATCGGTTAACTGTACCACACGGACAGTGGATAAGAGTATTGAGGCGCGGTAAAAAGCGACGGTGGCTTTCATCAAACATTTCTAGCAACGCCATTGGCCAACCAAGATATACTTCTTCAACGAGCTCGCAGTTGCACTTCCTTATTGTTTCCCGGCTTAGTTTGATGAGATACTCATCACCCTCGGGATGTTCCATAACAAGTTTCATGATCATCCTGTAAACATATACTGCACGCGTGTACCCTCTATCCGCCGCATCCTTTATCAGTAGAATCTCACCAAAATTATGTCGATGAAAATAGAGTTGCATACCTCGCATGAAAAGCATGCCTGGATTTCGTGCATCATAGAACTCTCTGAATACATCAATGATGATATGGACATCTTGATCCACTGGATGACTCATATTAAAAGGATCAACTTCAGCGTAGAAGCAAGAGCCTCTGGTGCAGTCGTTGAACCTATGACAAATCGAGCGAATCCGTATTTGGTCACCAATTGTGTTAGCCGACTTTGCCAGAACCTTTTCCAGTAGTTCGTCTGGTAGGACTAGTAGGTACGAGTACTCTGCGATGGATTTATCTATGAAAGTGGTCGAGGCCGAGTTTTGTGAAAGATCTGAAACCCTAAGAGAAAATGATGGATTTTATAATATAAACGGAAAATCTGAACCCTAAGAGAGAGGAGGAAGGAAAGAGTGATGGATTTGGGAAAGTAATGAAGAAGTAGAATTGATTTAGGAACTTCTTTCTGTATGGATTTGATTAGCGAACTTATAATAGAAAATGGAGGAAATGAGTAGTCTCGTTGAGTAAACGCGATCGTATGAGAGAGAGGAATAACTGCTACTCTCATTAATGCGTTATTGAAAATATATGATTTTTACTCATATACTGCAATATTCGGATATTTTTCTGGATTACTGAGGTATTCAGATATTTGTCTACTCAGCATTTACTCACGTGAGAGGAATTATTTATTGTATAGACACGTTGCATGGACGAAAGATGAGGAAAGAGGGAACGACGCGTTTATTTATCTCTGTAAAAGTAAATAAATATATAATAATAACTGTCTAAAAGATAATCACGTCGCGTTTCATTGTTGCATGGATGAAAGAGAGAACGGTCAAATTAGTGTTGGTAGTTGTATCAGTCTTACGACAGTTAATGAAAGGTTATTGCTCTCATGAACTGCCGTAAGACTGGTACAACTACCAATACTGTATTTGATTTTTACCACTACATTAAGTAAAGAAGTATTTTTGGATTTAATTAAGGGAGAGAGAGATGTGACTTTTAACTTCTCCGCACGATAAGGCTGAACGGTTGAAGGGTATTTATTCCATGAGTTGCACCCTAGGGTTTTTCTTTCTCTTTCTATAAATATAACTCAGTCTCTCTCTCACTCATATCTATCTTCTAAATCATCTTCTCTCTATTTAGTGCTATCGTTGCTCTCTTTATCACTTCAAATTAGCCCGTAAGTCGTGGATCATGACTCATCTGAGGGAGTTGCTGCAGTTTCTGGTGAGTGAGTTCAGTGCAGGGCCGGTGGCAGAAGACATTTACGAATGGCAAGCAACGCTGTTGGGCCCCCCTAGGAGTCCATACGAAGGGGGCATCTTCTTCATCTCCATCCATTTCCCACCAGAGTACCCCTTCAGACCACCAATGGTGTCGTGGAAGACGCCAATTCTGCACCCCAACATCGACAAACCCCGCGTCTTCCATCTGCTACTCGTCACCGCTACCTAGAGGGTTGAAACAATGGTGAAGGAACTCTTCCAAGCGCTCTATGACATGCTGCTTCACCCTAAGGTGAAGGAAGAGGACCACTACCTCGAAGACATCGCCCGAATGTGCGTCTTGGAAATGGAGAGGTTCGAGAAGGAGGCCCGCTTGATGACCGAGGCACATGCCATGAATTAATTCATGGCGTTTTCACCCTAAAATAATGAATTTTATGTTTTACTGTTTTCCATTGTAAAATATTTTATTATTAAAAAAATATTATTGTAAAATATTTGTTTATAAAAAAATTATTATTAAATCTACATGTGTTATTCTATCCACTATATTATCTCAGTCGATATATAAGTAAACCCTAATATATCGGGATAACTCAGTATCATTTGGTGCAACCACTTGTTTTTCGGAAATTTGAAAATATGTAATACTCAGTATCATTTGGTGTAACCACATGTTTTTGAAAAATTGAAAATATGTAATACTCAGTATCATTTGTTGTAACCACATGTTTTTCGGAAAATTGAAAATTTCTGGAAAATTAAAAATATATAACACTCAGTATCATTTGGTGTAACAACATATTTTGAAAAAATTGAAAATATGTAATACTCAGTATCATTTGGTGTAACTAAATGCTTTTCCGAAAATTGAAAATATGTAATACTCAGCATCATTTGGTGTAACCAAATGTTTTTCCAAAAATTAAAAATATGTTATACCCAGTATCATTTAGTGTAACCACATGTTTTTCCAAAAATTGAGTAAGTCTTGAGTAGAACCATGAATCATAACTACTTGTACAGGTAGATAGTTAAAGAAACCGAAGCCACAGCAAAAACATATAGAACTACCATGTCCTTAACTTCCTTAAATATCCTATCTCGTCGCGTCTATTCGAATTCTCTATCCATTTCCTTCAAAACCCAGTCACAAACCACTTCATAAAGGAGAGCATGAGACCTCCTTGCCTCAACCATTTCCTCCTTCAGGGTGTTTACCGATTCATGTAGCTGGGAAATCTCCGTCGAGTGAATCCGGTTCATTGTTCTAGTCCAACCACTCCGGCCTTGCATCTCGGTCAAATCATACCGAACATCTTGAATCTCTTCTAGCATCGCCTCATCACACCACTTGAAAAGATGATATCCGAGATTCTACATGATACAAGCCGTATAGATATTTTTGGTACAAAATTAAAAGCAATCAACAACTGAACTTGCCTTATGTATTCCGTATTGCAAGTGAAGAATCTTCTTCACCGGATCCAAAACGGTGTGGAAAGTTTTGATGATTGATTGACGATGACAATAACAAAATAGCGGGCTTTGAGAATTATCGTACAATTCAGGTGGAGGGCTCCTGCTTGAAAGCTCCGAGTCAGACAACGAGCCGAGACTTGGCATTCTTGCAAGAAATAGTTATTTTGCAAAAACTGAGTGTTTTGTGTTTTGATTGTTTTGTGCTTAAACCCGGATATTTTATTGAATTTTGATGTTGGGGAAACTCAAAATTGAAAATATCTGTTTTGGGGGGGGGGGGGAAACTCAAAATTGGAAATGGCTGTTGGGGGGGGGGGGGGGGGGGGGGACCAAAATTTGAGTTTCGTGGAAAAACCCGAGAATTAATAAATAATTGTAGGGGGGTCTATTTGTTCCAGCCTATTAGACACGTGTTCAAGTAAAAACACATGTCGTTTATTGTAACTGGGAATTTAAAACGTAGTTGTGCCTTGTTTTCCAGTTATACTCATCGTCCATATAGTTGTACTTTTGGTGAATATACTGTATTCGCAGTAATACTGAATTTTAAATAATATATTCTGGTTATACGATTCATTAGTGGTTATAAAATCAATTTATCAACGTGTTCATCAAACAAAATTCGAGGAAAATTATGATACGTATTCTTTCCATTATTGATTGCCTAAGCTTGACAATGTGACTATAGAAGCATAAGACACTTAAATGTCGGGTGTGGTGAGATTCGTATCATTTGTTCATAATTTTTATTATTTTAAAACCCTGGTCCGTAGTCCCTGATAAGTGTTACTATAAAAACGACCATATTTTAAAATACTGATTATTATCGTGGTCGTATTTTGTCATCTCCAAATTATGAAATCAGTTTAAATTGGTCTATTGGTGGTTAAGGGTTGGTTAACCTCTTCTAAAACGACGCCACATGGAAACGAGTATCTTTTAATCTTATTTTCTATTATTATAATAATATTCGACCTGACACATGGACACGTGTTCAGGTAAAGAACACCTGTCGTAACTCACGTGTGGCTGACATAATTTATTTTATTATGGACACATGTCGTTTATTGTAACTGGGAATGTAAAACGTAGTTGTGCCTTCTTTTCCAGTTATACTCAGCGTTCACATAGTTGTACTTTTGATGGATATACCGTATTCGCAATAATACTGAATTTTAAATAATATATTCCAGTTATATGATTCATTAGTGGTTATCAAATCAATTTATCAACGTGTTCATCAAACAAAATTCGAAGAAAATTATGATACGTATTCTTTCCATCATTGATGGCCTAAGCTTGACGATGTGACTATAGAAGCATAAGACACTTAAGTGTCGGGTGTGGTGAGATTGGTATCATTTTTTCATAATTTTCATTATTTTAAAACACTGGTTCTTAGTCCATGATAAGTATTAGCATGAAAATGACCATATTTTAAAATACTGATTATTATCGTGCTCGTATTTTGACATCCTCAAATTATGAAATCGGTTTAAATTGGTTTATTGGTGGTTAAGGGTTGGTTAACCTCTTCTAAAACGATGTCACCTGTAAACAAGTCTCTTTTAAAAAATATTTCCTATTATTACAATAATATTCTACCTGACACATGATCACTTTCTCTTCTTTTGACGAACATTTCATCGGGTTTTTAACTTTTAGACGACATTCTCTGACCTTAAAGTACTACTTTCACTTTTCTTTTACACAACTTTTTCGCTTTTTCGCTCTTGCTTCTCCTCCCCAATTCACAATTATTTGTGTTTGACAGAACAACAAATGTCCGTACTAAACATTATAACTAGAGCGTAGTTATACCAAGTTTTCCTGACCAAAACTAAACATTTACATTGTTGATACACTTACAAGCTACACATCATTTTATTTTATTTTTTAGCATTGTTTACAAATTGTCTATTAGAAAATAAATTGTCTACTAGAAAATAAATAGTCTAAGTAACAACAAACACTTCGATTTTCCATCAAACTTCTTAGAACATCAATTTGAGAGAGAAAACAATAGATATGCCACTCCATTGCGAAGAACAGTGAGAGTATCAATTTGGCCACTCCTTCAGGAACCTCATAATAATTTGACTGAATTTTGCCGCCTGCATTGTCCAGTAGCAAGTATCTCACATATTGGTGGGTTCCTCCATGGATCCGTATATAACAAGACAACTGTGGGGTAAGTCCATGTTTCCGCAGTGCAAGTTACAAGCTTTGTGAAAAACTAAAGTAACATTTTCTTCAAACACTTGCAGAGGGTTAGCGTTGAAACCCCTCGGGCTTGAATGTTCCATTGTTCGAAGCATTTGTACTGCCTCCGCCCGGGTAGTATTTGTCACAGATGTTAAGCTTACTTCGCATCTGGACATGATGAGAACAAGCATTTTGTGGCAGTATTTAACCATAGAGCATCCCACTTCCACTGACTCCTTAATCATAGCCATCTCTGCCTAGATATTACGGTCATAGAAAATAATTGAAAGACCTTTTTCAAATAAAGCCGTTGGATTACCTGCTGCCAAACATCTGTCCTTAAACATTCTCATCTATGCCATATCAAAGACCCAAGGTAAGAGCACGGTTAACAGATCCACGCTCCGTAGGAAGATTGGATCCTTGGAGATTTCGTTAAAATTCCTAAGGGCCACTTTAGCAAAACAGTAATCTCGTACGCAATTACTTATTATCATCTTTAGTATTTTGGTTTTCATCTCGATGGGCAAATCATAAATCCCTACTTGCTTTGCGATAGGAGACAAAATGTGTTTCAGATACTTCTTGGGTCTATGTTAAATAAAATAGGGCACAACTCCCTAAAAACTCTTGGAGTCACCGTTGGAAAACGAAACGACACGTCGTTTGTATTTTTTTGTTTCATTTTTTTATTTCTTTATTTCATTTTTTTTTTAAAAATAGTAAAACATCACATTTCCAAATACAATAGTCGACTGTAGTTGTACCAAGTAATCCCGAGTAAAACATCACATTTCCAGATACAAGATTTCAGAGTAACTAAACTACGTTATCACCTGCAGTACTTTCAGAGGCACATGCAGTACTTTCAGAGGCACCTGCAGCATTTTCAGCTCCAGCATTTTGACCTGCAGTAAAATAGGAATGAACTCCATTAGATACAGAGCGACGCTTATTACTCGTCTTCGCCTTCTTAGACTTCGGTCGACGCTCTCCAACGGATGGATGCCTTTTCTGCTGTTTTGCCCCCCTCTGTTTCTCGTGTTCCAGGGGTAAAGCACTCAATTGCTTTATATCATCGGATACACCCAGTGTGACTTGTGTGGGACTGGATAAATCGTTCTGTTATAAGCAAAAGCCCACTGCTCGGTTAAATAATACTTCGAACACAAGTCCTCTACGTTTATATCCTCTTCTCTCTATGGCCGCTTCATGTAATGCTCTAGTGCGGCTAAGGCATGCACACAAAGATACTTGTCTATATCAAACCACTTGCACAAGCAAGTTTTACTTTTCAATTTCACCGTGTAATTCATCCCATCGCTTCCGATTACACTGTATTCAATCTGACTGATGTTTAACTTGGTGACAGTTAGCCTCTTCCATTCAGCACATCTACTGTGAAATATATTCTCCTCAAAGGCCACCAGTTTACGTCCTGGTGGCGTAGAAGCAACCTCGTTCTTTCTCGGTAGCTAACTATTTGTCTGCTATGTTTTGAAGGGATATGTTGAGCCTAGGAAAACCCGATCTGAAGCCTTTGTCAAATAATGTGCTTCCGCAGATTCGCGATGCAGTCGTTGTCATTTTCCAAAAAGTTGGTACGGTATCTGCCAAAGACGCTTGTTTGTTTGCTTGTTCGTGTAAGTTCCTGAACCAAACATTCAAGGAACCATCTGTGATCAGCTTTCGTGAGAAGGCCCAGTTTAATTTAGAGCTACCCTACATTGTTTGAGTCAGAGATTACATTAGGTAATCCAATTGCACTCTATATCCGCGGCATGAGCAGAATAACTGTTGCCGATAATATCGAAGGTTCTCTGAGATGTTTAACCCAGGCGTCTAAAGCTGGAGTTGACTCGGCGACCTTAATGTTGGCAATCTGTGTTACCGCAATTGGTCACTACCCATGGGGGATGTAAATGTTAGACCGTGTATTCGGTTGGAGAAGTAGAATGGAACACATGATTATCATTGGTGAGAAAGTTATGGATTTGATCAAGAAAATGGTGGTGCCTGATGCTCATATATCTTTGCCCCACATTTCTGTTGATTTCCCCATCTGCCGTTTGAAGCATGAGCTAATGTACTATGAGCATTGCTACCTGTATGTTCAGTACCACCATGCAAAATTTTCTTTAGACCCATAGGTTTCCGATATTTCAGTCCTTATTATGTTTGTAGTTCAGCATCTCTAATGTAGTTGACTATTATTAGTTGTCTACTGTAATCGAATACATGTTGTGGGTTATTATGTGTTTATTGTTATCAAGCTACTTAGTGTAATTGCCTATGTTTTAAAGTTAGTATCTGAAAAAAATTATATTTAATTAGGCACCTAAATTACTTTAATTTGTATCACAACTGCTTTAAGCACTGATAACCGTTTTTTTAATTCTAAAAAAACCGTAGAAAAAAACTTCCTTTACTACCCTTCATAAGTTCACTCTGTCATTTCTCATTTTTTCTTCTCTCAGACCACGAACTTATTTTGCAACTGTCATTTCTCTCTTCGTCTTCCCTGTTCTCTTTCATATTCCCAAACGCCTTACTTTAACCTAAAAAGTCTCCTGGTCACCTTTGCTTCTTTCCTCGCATCGGAACAGCCATCCGCCGCACCAATTAACGACGACCCAGTCGCCGTATCTCTCCCTCCGGCCACATCTCCTTTCTGGTAACTGTACATTTCTCCATTTAGTGTATTTTCAGTTTCTGTAGATCCCGCTTCGCCACCGCCGTCGTACGCACAAGTTGTCATTGAATTTTGCAGATATCAATTTTTAGGTTATGGTCTATTAGTATATAATTACCCCAGTAGTCGAGTCGTATATTTTCTGTTAGTATTTCTAATTAGAGGCTTAATTGTTATCGTCTCTTCTCAAATAATAGATCTATGTTTTTTGTGTTTTCGTTTTGTTTTGCTCTCCTCTAGGTTTTTCTGGGTAAAGTATGAAATCATATGTTCTGAAATTTTTTAGTTAAAAGTACTCATTTATAATCAAACAACTATAATATAACACGCGATTCTTTTTGTTTGAGAAATTAAACATCGGTACAACCTTCGAGTCTATGTCATATACAATTTGTATACTCGATTATACTAGTCGATTATGTTCACCTGGTAACTGATTACTAATAGTCATGTATTTACATATACAGTTCTCATCTTCATACGGTAGTTGATGACCTTTAGTTAAACTTTTTTGTGTCCAGCAGTTAAGCTATGAGCCGGTTTCCGAAAAGACTGTTTGCCTTAGGCAACGAACCGGAGAATAAGAAGGTGAACACCTACTTCCAGCTACATTATCTTGACACAATAAGTTATGCTTTGGAAGAGGACCATATTGAGAAGTTGTCCTTGTCCCAATTTGGAAAACTTATCGAAGCAGGCAACAAGATTGCATCATCAGTGAGATTCCTTCACTTCATTTTGTCAAGGCAGCTGGTTACAAAGAAGAATAAAGAGGTTTGGTGTCTCTTCGCTGTTCAGCCAATTCGCTTTTCTATTAGGGAGTTCGCTATTACGACAGGTTTAGATTGCTCCAAATTGCCTCCCCCGAAAAAGCTGAAGGAAGACAAGGTCAGTGAGTATACCATTGAATTATTTGGTTCTGATAGGAATGCAACCCCTGGATGGATAGCGACAACCCTTGCTGGCCGACCATACAAAGACAAAGACACCAGATTTAAGTTGGCGTGCTTACTCCTCATCGATGGTATTGTATGTCCTACTTCTAGAAAATCTTTGGGGTCGCAAATCTTTTGATCTGACCATTAACAGCATCAAATCTAGGACAGCTACCACATCGTACCTTTGTCAGCCAACATGTGCTTTTCAGGATTTTCTACATGCACTACAGATGGTCGTTTTGGAGTGTGCTAAAAGCTAAATCAAGCAAGCCTACTTTGACAGATGAAGAGGATGAAGAAGATGAATCCCCAAGTATACGTCCTGGTGCTATGAAACCTGTTAACATCTCTATGCCTCATGTGAAGTTTCTCGACAATAATCAAAAGGTATGTTAAACACATTTAAATACACAATAGTTGACTACTATTAGACAATTATCAGTACACTGTGATGTCCTTCACCCATACAGGGTTTCTGATTAAAACCGTAAAAAGTAGACAATAATTGACTGTTTTAATAGTCAATTATTTATAGTCATATAGACAGTAGTTGTCTACTAACCTATTTGCAATTTCAGGTGGCTGTCAAAGCAATTTTACCGGACGATGAACATCTTCTGGATGACACCGATCTGGAGTTTGATGATGATGTCCCAGACGAAAGCGTAGACAACTTAGTGGCAGCAATCAATAACGGTCAAAACTTTTCAAGGAAGACATGGAATGGCGGTGAAAAAGAAAACCTTCATATAAAACATCCTAAGACACCAGCGTCATCTTCCCGGAATACATCTTCCGATGTGGATTTAGATACTGCCGCTTCTTCCATTGTTGATAAGGTTAAAGGTGCTAATGCAGTGGTCTTAACAGAGATAAAAAGCCTTCGTGCAGATTTTGTTGTACTCTGTTCCGAAGTCTCGTCCACTTTGTCCACTTTTAAGGAATATATTCAGAGCCTAGAAGGCCCTTCATCCCAAGTCGGAGCACCTTCTAAAGGAAAGCCTGCTCGTAGGGTCAAATCGACTACTAAGAAAGTGAAGCACGTTAGATTTCAGCAGGTATCTTCCTCTGAGGAGTCCAAATCTTCCTCTGATCACGCTACCAAGACCAAAGATTCAAGCAGTACTTCTGCTGAAAGTAACGACGGCTTTGATAGTACTGTCGGTGATGGTGTTGAAGCTAATGATGGTGATGACCAAGAAGATAGAACGGAAGATGATGATGGTGTAGACGTGTCTAACCAAATGCAAGTCGATGTTGATGACGTCCAAAACGATGTTACTCTCGCGAGTAACCAAATTGCGTTTGTTCTTTCTGATTTATCAGAAACTGTACAGGTAAGTAGGCAACTATTAGTATGCATATATGTAAAATGCACTTACTTACAATTTGTCTCGTTAATGTAGGTCAACGTAGACCCTTCAGAAACTCAGCCTATTTTGTCCCCACCTGTACAGGTAAGTAGGCAACTATTAGTAAGTATATACTCAAATGAGGTATCTTGTGAATTTATTTGTTTATGGTAGGTCAATCTAGACCCTTCAGAAAGTCAACCAAAGGTCTCGGAGAATCAGTCCGGCAGTGTTAACACACGTCAAATGGGAGACGATGGGGTTACACACGTCAACACAAGTGACCCACCATACGATCAGGTTTATCTAACTAGTTGACTACTATATATAAAATAGTTAATAACGCCGATCATATTGTTTATTCACTACCTTCGTAAGACAAGCTGGCAGAGCAGACAAACACCGTTGAGGATAACTCTATTCACGCGCCTCTCATTTTTGTACTCCCACCACAAGGACCGGTTAGTGCGAGTAGTTGCTTATTTATTATAGTTTATCGGTTATAAATGATGGTCTTAGTAATCAACTATCTGCTGTAATAATCTCAGGTATTAGAGGCCAACGACCAAACCGATGTCAACGACGTTGCACCTATCGATTCTGGACTCCCACCTCAAGATCCGGTTAGAGTGGAATAGTTGCCTATCTATTATTGTATATGGTATAGCTTATGGGTCTTAGTAGTCGACTATCTGTGTTAATATACTAAGGTTGTAAAGGCCAATGACCAAACCGGTGCCGACAAAGATGTCCCACCAGAACCACAGGTTCGTTAAGTAGTCAATTACTTTCTGTAAATATACGTGTGAAACATAGTCTGTTATATAAATAATAGACTACATTTTTATTGATTACTAATGTATCCTAGGACATGCTGGAGACCCAAAACACTATTCTTGAACCTGCAAATCCCGAGGCAGAGATCGAAATTCCAGCAGGCGTTGATCCTCCTGGTTGGTCACTTGGTCTTACATAGGAAGAAAAACATATGGCCCAAACATCTAAGAATGGAGCAGAAGGACAGGGAGCTATTCGCAAGAGTAAACGACTACCCGTGCCTTCATCACAGATGACCGATTTTTTAGTCCCCTGACCTAAACGTGTTAAGAAGAATGAGAAATTGGTTGATCTGTCGCACTTCTTTCCAACACCAAACTTTGAACAAGTCATCTTCCTCCAGAGTAGAATGAAAGACACTCGGTGAGTAAAAGCTTATTTGTTGTTGATCGGTATTTGACGGCAGATGACATTATCTTTTGTTTTATTGGTATCTGTAGGAATTTGCCTAGCTGGGATGGGATTGTCCTATCTGTGAACATTCTGAAAGAAATCGTCGATTTGAAATACCCGATTTCCGTCATGTTAATTCATTTAAATAGTTAACTATTTCTTCATAATCATTAGCTGACTTCTTCTGTTTGATATTTTTTACTGTAGACTATCGACAGCGTTATTAGGTTATTCCGTCATCAACTGGCCGAATTGAACGACGATCGATGCACTTATGATTTTGTTGAGTACACGTTCCTTCACAGCATCGTTGAACTCCTTCCGCAATTTACAAATCCCCCGAAAAGAAATCTGTCTCACTCCCTACTGGTTCAGCTGCATACGTCAAAACCAGGTGCTCATGGTACACTCAGGTTGCTCGCATTTATTGTCCTTACAAAGTTGATGACCGATACTAGGTGGGTCTATGCATCGATTTCGAAAGCCACGAGGTTATGGTATTGAATGCGTATGCGACACTCAAAGAGATGAAACTTAAGACAAGTGTTGCACCACTCGCACAGTCTCTACCACATTTTATCAGGACGGTGGCATACAATTCAGAGATGAAAGCCGACGACCTAACGCCGTTCACAATAAAAAATTGTGAACCAATGTTCCAAACATCGGCATCTGGTATGTACTACTTCTATTTAATAGACAGATACTTAGTATGCTATTACATGTAGTTAACTATATTTTATTTTGTGTTCTCAAGGTCATCTCAGTGTGCTGGCACTCATGTCTCTTCAGTTGCATGCTGTCAATATGCCTGTAGACAATGTTGTGGGTGATGATATTGTTCGTGATGCATCTCTGAAGTTTGCGTATGATCTCCTATGTTTGATCGAGCCGCCTTCTCTAGCCGACGTCGTAATTCCAAAGGACCCTCCTTCTTGATCCGCACCATATTTCCTAGTTGTTTTATGAACTTATTCTCTGTCAGACATCTCATTTTGGCTTTAGGGACTTATCGTTTTATCAATTTGTAATGTTTGTGTGTGTTCTAAACTTCGTCATTATTAACTATTAATAGTCGTCTATTATTTACCAACATAAATCCTAATGAAGCATTACTAATAGCTAGGAGAGTAGACTTTCAGCGTAAACAAACTAATTTCTTACTACAAGTAGCTGATTATCACGCCAAAATTTTATCAATGTAAATCCAAATGCACAATTAATAAGTGTAAGGGAAATATATTTTCTATTGTAGGGAAATTATTATTAACTACAAGTAGATGTCCATCACGGGGAACTATTAACCAAAGTAAATCCCAATGCAGCAGTAATGACAGTATTAATTACATATAAGTAAATGACTTTTACGCGGAACTATTTACCAAAGGGAATCCAAAATCCAAAGAACATATTTTTAGCATAGTATTGAATTCAGTAATAACAAAATAAGTAGGGGAGAAAAGTATCTGAGGCCTTACAAAACAATATCCAATATCCAAATAACATATTTTAGGATGCATAATACCAAAAAAGCTTCAAATTAGCAGGAGATAAGAACCGACATAAAGTGTTGACCCTTAACTTGCATTTGAAGTGCATCATATCCGATTCTTTCTGCCTCATTCCAATATAACCCCTGCCACTTGACTTACCTTTCATGCACCAGAAGTTTGCATGAAGCTCTGTTGTGACCCTTTCCAAGACACCTGCTGCAAATCCTCGCCGTCTTCCTTGAACGCCTCTGTTTAAGTGAGAGAAAGACAGTAGACAATTACGCCAACCGTTTAGTATATAAATCATGTAGTCGATTACTCGGTAGACGTATACTAACATATGTAATTATTACCTTCAGCTCTCCACGGGATGGGATCCTTGTTTTCCTTGGTCGGCCTGGGGATCGGCGCATCAATGGTGGAAGTAGTTATGTCCCACCAGAACTTACAGGAGTTGGTACTGGGTGGAAAGCTCTTTCATAAAGGGATCTCCGGTACCTTGTGGTGTACACCTCCCCACAAGCTTATCAAGCTCAATTTTGCTGCACGAAGAAGCTGCCATTGCATGACGGCATGGTATGAGAAGCGTTTGAAACTCCCTGCAGCTGGACGACTTTAAAACAAGGTTCACTTTGAACCTTTTCCCCTGTCTGTTTTAAACTTCGTACTCATCCTTTCGACCACAACCACCTACATATCAACATAGTCAGTTACAAGTAGTCGTATACAATAAATAACTGGACAGTTTTACTGGTAACTGATAGTTTAGTAATCGTCTACTATTTACCTTTAACTCGGTGCAACTATAAAAGTTATCGTCCATCAGGTCACGGACTTCCGGATTGATACCATGTTGCTGTGCCGCGGAAGCAGCTTTCCTCCTTACAAACCAGCTGATAAGACTCATCCAGATGGCCTCAAGCATCAAGATTAGTGGGAATTCCCTACACTCTTTCAAGACTTTGTTGAGAGACTCGGCAACATTTGTAGTCATAACGTTGTACCGTTCGCCGATGCAGTATGCCCGCGTCCAGTGTGGTAGGCCTAAATCCGAGAAGTAATTCGCACAGCCAGGACTTACGCTTTGTAGATCTGCAAAAATCTGTTGGAACTCGTAAACAGTATACGCTTTAGCAGCTGAGACCATCAGACCAGGCAACCGGATTTCTTTAAACCGTGCGGTGATGTTCCTTGCTAGGTGAACAAGGCACGCCCCATGGCCGGCAGCAGGGTACACCTAGATTACCAGAAAGACAGGTGGTTATTAATAGTCAACTATATATACCATATTTTATGTTATTTGTAATCATAGAGTAGCTGTCAATTTCGTACCTTTTTGAGACCAGAGTAGATGCTCCCGTGTCTGTCTGAAACAAACATAACATCACGATCATTGGGAATGATAATTTTTAAGCAATTGAAAAACCATTAATAAGATGCATCGTTCTCTCTGTCCACAACTGCATATGCAATTGGGTAGATCTGAAAGTTCCCATCTTGAGCACTGGCACATATGAGACAGCCCCCATATCTGCCAACCAGATGGGTCCCTGCACTCATAGAGAGGTATTTGTACTTAGCGACGTATACTTAGTAGTAAATTGTGTATACTTAGTAGTCAATTATCAACGTAATCAATTATCAACGGCATGGTATGAGAAGTCGATGTATGCTTAGTAGTCAACTAGCGATGTATACTTAGTAGTCAACTATCAACGTAGTCATATAATTGTAGTCACTAACTTACCATCAATAATCACCACCGGTCTTAAGTATTGGAGTCCAGCTATTGAAGCAGCAAACGATATGAATAGGTACTTGAATCTTTGACAACCATTTTTGTCCACACCGAACTCTGTTTTGCAAACTGTCCCAGGGTTAGAGTTCTGCAGATTCTTCAAATAAGAAGGGAGCAATGCGAAACTTCCAGAGACTGATCCAAATGCTTTCTCCAATGCCAGTTCCCTGCATCTCCACGCCTTCCAATATGAAATGTTGACCTACATTTGGTAAGTAGACACAATACCAAAAATATCAGTTATGTCCTGTAAGGAGTCAACTAGTTATAGTCAGCTACACTGATTGGGATTTTGAAGAACAAGATGCCAGAATAATCAACCTGGAACTCCTGAAGCATGATTCGCTGGATTTTGATTGGGTTGGGTCCTCTCTGTCCTGCGATAAATCTTGTCTGGATCAGCTCACCAATCACTTGGATTGTCGCTTGTTTGTGATATTTCTGATGGGCTTGCGGGACTAGGGTTGTTTTTTAACAAGCCCGTTGGTCCTCCAAAAGTTTTAAATTTTTAAAACTCTAGTGCCTGCAAGTGCACAGATGTACGTTGTAGGACTTAGGGTGTCGATCCACAGGGAGGATGTCTAATCCGCGAGAAACAACAAACTGGGAAGTAAGCAAACTCATAAACTAATAAAAGGTTTGGGGTTTTTGGTTAACATCCTAAACTAAACCTAATCTAGTATTCACAAGAAATGCAATGCAGGATGAATTGTTAAAAGAACATCTAAAGCATATTGACTCAAACTAAAGACTCTTAAACTCATAGGTGGCGATTTAGACTTCTCCGGTTTACTCTAATTGATGTATGATGTCATTTCCAATTAGCTTCCGGGCGATTTATCTTCATCTGTATATGGGAATCTGCATTGAACTAGAATAGACATATGTATGATTAACCAACTGTCGTCACCTTAATCAACTAATCTCTTAGATCTAGCAATTAACTCTCACTCTCATGCTAAACTTAAGATCATGCATTAGATATTGAATTCGTCTGCTCACATCTTCTATATAGGTAGCTTTCGACTCCTATAGCGACTATGTTCTTCTAAAGCTAGGTACGGATGATCTGATACAGCACTCTCGTCACAATAAGTCAAATTTCTTGTAGTGTGCACCCTTCTCAAAGTCCGGTTCCTCTCCAGCCAAACAGATTACAGCTAACTTGTCCAGCCTCTCACACTCTTCTTCATCAGACGGGACTGCACCAATAGTCAACTAGCGGCGGTTTATGGGAGTTTTCTTGTTGGCTATTTATTTGATCCCAAGGGTCCCCTCCACTAAACCTATCTGTACAGTTCGACTACACGACAAACGCCATTTGGGAGGGCAAAAAGTAACAAAAGTTTACGTTGGTAGTGTTTACAAAAGAAGGTAGCGTCTGCGCTTTACTAACTTCGTGTAGTCCCTATTGGGCTCAGAAAAATCTATGTCTACTTTTAGGGAGCAATGGGTATACTGTCTTTTCCACCCCCACTTTCTTGTTGACTTCCGCTATGCAGTGAATTGACTGCTTTACGATGTCATGTAACTAATTCGTGCCCTGAGACATAATATTGATGCAAATCACTCTAATATATATTACTTATCGAGAAATTCAAAAATTAGTTTTTAATCTAAAAAATAATTTAAATTTAATTTAGATATTTGATTTAATTTAGATATTCGAATTAAAATTATACAGTAATATGGAAACGGCTTAGGATAATATTTTTATAATCGATGTTCTTTGTGAGTCGGTTTGTCAAAACATACCAAATAGTGGCCTGATTCAAGCCATATTAAAAAGATAAGTAAACTCATTCTAATATTTAAATATATATTGGTTGTTTAGTAATATATATTCATAGAATAACAAAATTTATAATTATAATTACAATTACATCGATTGTATACTTAACTCATCTATACTACTATACTGATATAGACCATACGGTAGTATCATATGTTGGGGGTAAATTTGATCCTTCCTACGTAGATGAACCATATGCTTGCACATGACAGTTGCTGAGCCGTTTTGTATTAACAATAACGACGAGGCGATCTTATGAGATTGCCGAGCCGTTTTGTGTTTAACGACAACGACGAGGCGTTCTCATAAGATTGCCGAGCCGTTTCGTGTTAACAACAACGACGAGGTGTTCTTCTGAAGTTGCCGAGCCGTTTCGTGTTAATAACAACGACGAGGCGTTCTTATGAGATTGCCGAGCCGTTTTATGTTTATCGACGACGACGAGGCGTTCTCATGAAGCTGCCGAGCAGTTTTGTGTTTAACGACAACGACGAGTCGTTCTCATGAGATTGCCGAGCCGTTTTACGTTTATCGACGACGATGAGGCGTTCTCATGAAGCTGTCGAGCCATTTTGTGTTTAACGAAAACGACGAGGCGTTCTCATGAGATTGCCGAGCTGTTTCGTATTAATAACAATGACGAGGTGTTCTCATGAAGTTGCCGAGCCGTTTCGTGTTAACAATAACGACGAGGCATTCTTATGAGATTGCCGGGCCGTTTTGTGTTTAACAACGACGACGAGGCGTTCTAAGGACAGGTTACTGAACCGTTTCGGCAATGCAAGGTTAAGTTTTCACGGTTTCGACGAAATATTCTCGGATTAGTGTAGTTGCGTCGTGGGCTCGGCTTACCTGGACAGCTCCGTACGGGAAGTGTTTAGCAGTCATCAGTTTTCTTCAAGAAATTCTGGGTATTGGCGCGTATGGCGGACGCGTCACGAAGTTTCGTATTCGCCGCGGACTTCACGCGCCTTCATTTATTACCTTTGCGCCATCCCGAGGTCCACGCGGACTCCACGCGCTTCGGTTGTTCTATAAATAGGTGAGCTCCCTTCGTTCCTTCTCATAACTTCAGATCTCTCATTTTTACTAAAGGTAGCTCTCCCTTCTCTCTTCTTTCTCTCTCTAGTTTATTTATTTTTCGGCTAGGATTCCGAGATTCTCGCCGTCTCATATCTTTTTCCGGCGAACCCTGTCGTAAAGCGCTGTAATTTTGGTACGAGCTGTAATATATGTCGAGCTGTTCGGGCGATTCGCTAGAACCCCTGTTCAATTATGAAACGAGCCGTACAGGCACTGTAGCGAGGAGTGCTACGGGATCTTCCGAGGCATCTACTTCGCCGAACCCTTCCAACAATCCTGCCAAGGATCAGGATTTGTCGAATTCTCCCAGCCCTTCTGGCGCTTGTTCCGTTAATAACGAGGTGTCCGATTCGACGAGCTGTTCTTGGGGTCCCGTCAACCAAGAGGAGGTTGACTATACCGCGGTTAAGGCCGAGGAAGAAGTGTTTCCTTTCAACCCGGTTGAGGCGAGGCTCGAATTAGAGCGGCTTATAGCATCCCGAGGTGCTTCTTCTTCTGGGAAGGGAAAGCCCAAACGGGTGAAAAGGCAAAAACCCGATCCTCCCGGTTCCACACTCGAGGTGTTGCGTCATCGCTTTGGAATATCCGAAGCGGTTGAGTTCGTCGTTCCGGAGAAGAGTGACCGAGCCGACAAGCCTCCCGAAAATCACTTCACCTTATATGAGGCGTTTTTTGAGCTCTGCTTCCTATGGTTACCAATCCCCGGGGTTATCCTTGAATACTTGTGGGAGCATGGGATTTTGATTGGGCAGATTATGCCGAGAGGTTTGCGACATATGATCGGCATCACGGTTTGGAGCTTCGAATGCGGTGTCGAAGTCGAGCTCGGTCATCTGCTCAACCTATTGGAAATCCGGAGAGCCCCGGGAGGAGGCAGATTTTATATTTCCAATAAGTCCAATCGTCGGATCATAGGCGGTTTCCCGAGCAAAGATCAGTTTTGGACTGAACGTTTCTTCTATGTTTTGGTGAACGAGGCATCGGTGGGCGAGGGTTTTGTACATAAAACGAAGACTGTTTGGAGACCACTTGGTAGTCGATGCGAAGCATTGTTTTGGCTCGGAGCTTGTTATGGTGCGATTTCTATCTTCTAACTTAGTCGTTTTGGCATTGTTTTTGCAGTTCGGAGTTTTCTTCCTCCTGTTCCCAACGACCTTTTCTCTGTTCGAGATACTCTCGCGGCTCGGAAGGTTAACTGGAGAAAGCACTTCTCCTTTGAGAGAATAGAGAGAGTCCGAGCTATCCTCGCCGGGGTGTCTATCAGTTCCTCTTCATCAAATTCATCGGGAGATACGAGAGAGAAAATGGTGATTATTACGCTCAGGGATAAGAAGCGACGCGAAGCCGAAGAGATTGCTAGGAGAGCCGAACAAGCAGCTCATGTGGTGGCTGAGGCGGTACCTCGGGACGACCCACCGAGGCTCGAGGGGGAAGAAGTCGCCCGAGCTGCTGACGAGACCGCTCTCGAGGCAACGGCGCAGGAGGCAGCGCCCGAGGTGGAACCGGGCGAGATTGTTCCTGCCGCGTCTGGGGAGAATTCCGCGGCTCGGGATAAAACTCCACCTACCTTGGCGATTCTGGCCCTTCCGAAACAATCGAGGCCTCCGACTTCAAATCTGCTGAAGCATGATACCAGCAGGAAGAGGTCGGCTATGGAAAAGGGCAAGGGGGTGGCCATCCAAAAGGACGAGCCGTCCAAAAAGAAACGCAAGCCGGCGCCCAGCGAGCCCACATCTCGTAAGTTGGTTGTTGACGACCCGGCTGCTTCCGCGGTGATATTCGCACGCATCAATAATGCCAACACTCGTCTTCCGCCTCCCGATCAACTGAGGCGGTCGAAGTCCTATGCTGCCATGGCGCAGCGCGGTACCAAGGTACCTTTCTAACTCGTTTCTTCCTTGCTATCGAGTTGTCCTAGAGTCTGACATGCTTCTGATTTTGCAGTTTGTCGCGGCTATCAACGAGATGATGGCCGGTTATGAATTGGACTTGGTTAAAAACGAGCGCTACTTGGAGGAGGCTCGGAAGAAGGCTGCGACAGCTAAGAGAAAGTTTGAACGAGGCGAGGGCCACGATTAAGAAACTAGAAGAGGAGAAAATAACTCTTTGGGCCAACGTTGACAAGGTATCATCCGGGGTGACTCGTCTTGAAGAATTCAGAAGAGCCAAAAGTGCCGAGGTGGCTTTGTTGAAGAGACGCATCGAAGCTAAGGATGCCTTATTCGATGCTAAGGTGAAAACGGCCAAGAAGTAGGTGAGGCGCGAGCTGACGGCTAAGTTCCAAGAGCGTCTCGCCAAGGTGGAGGAAGGTCTGGCCAAGCTGGAGAAGGCCAAAAGCGACGAAAACGAGCTGAGACAGATCAAAGGAAATCTCGTTATGATTGAGGAGCTTCGGAAACCCGACGGATCTTTGGACTCCGAAGAGGCAAAGTTGAAGGTTTGGGAGGCCGAGTATGTCGACGACGAGGCGTATGACTGCATTGCGTCCGAGATCCGAGGTGGCCTAGTATACTCGCCTGTGTCGCCAGATTCTGACGATACCTTTTTAGGTAACGAGCTGATCGAGGAGACGGCGCTAACCTCGGTGTTGAGGATCCGACCGGATCCAACGCGGGTACTCCTGTTCTCTCGAACCTCCTTGCTGAGCGAGAGACGCGTTGTGCTGCTTGATTCCTCTCCTTTCTCCCTTGTCTCTTACATTCACTCTTTTGTACTTAGTGCCTGGATGGCTTTATCCTCTTTTCGAACTCGCATGTTTCCGTGATTGGTGCCTGGACGGCTTTATCCACTCGACTATTGTTTTTATTGGTGGATCGATTTAGCTGTGGTTATATTCATCTTTCCCCTTAGTCATTTTTGTTTTTTGGAATTGCTGTTTTTGTCCTTGGTGATTTATGAATTTTTGAGGAAACTGTTGTTGGAACGAGCTGTCGTCGACTGGTTTGTCGAGCTGGGCCGAGAGTGCTTTTGTTTGCTTCCCTGGCCGAACTGTTTACGAAATATCGATAGAAAACCGGATTAAGGGACAGGCTGTTACAGATCCTGTTTAAGTCTGAATCCCGAGCTGGGAGTTGACTCGTGACGCGTTCTTGTTTTAGGTAGCTCTTAAAAGAGATTAATGTTCTTTTGTGCCTTCAACCGTTGGTGCCGAGGCGTTTGAGTTAGGAAAGATTTAGTGCGAAGACATTTTAGGTCGGATATCGCTTTGGCCATTTGAGGCGATAAGTTTGGGACTCTCGTTGCCGAGGTCCGTGTCTTGAGACGATATCAAAGTTTGATTGTAGACCGGAGTTCCCGAGAGGGTTAATGCGTTTGCCGGGTTTTAAGAGTTCGTTTCGGTTTTAGAGAAAGTGATGTAGTCTCGACTTACAATCTCGTGTGCGATGACGAACCGTGGCGACCGATACGTTTTTGGTCCAAAATTTGTATAGCGCGCTTGATTTTAATTCATAGAGGATGTGACTTGCACCCTCGTCCTAGGAAAGGTGGTAAAAAGTCCATTTAGAGAACTTTGTGACTGTTGCCTCGTTGTGGCCAGCAACGAGGCGAGGTGTTTGGAACTATAGGAAGTTTGCCGGAGTGAATGCAAAGACAAGTAAAAGTCTAGGAGAAGTGCACATAAGTGATGAATGAAAACTAACCGAAGTGACAATGAACGAATTAAAAATCCGAGGTGACCATGAAACAACTAACTGGTTTAAAACGAATGGAAAATTGGCCGAAGTGGCAATGACCCTAGAGATGGTAGACGAGCTAAAATTGTAGAGTTAATGAAGGTATGTGTATACGTACCCACTAAAATTGTAGAGTTAATAGACGGGCTGCCTACGTACCCTTTGCAGGGATCAAGCCGTCACGTAGTTCATGTCGATCATGTTGTTGCCTTAGTGATAATACTTCTTTAGATGCATTGCGTTCCACGATCTTGGTATAGCTTCGTCAGCTACCGTCGCAAGTTCATAGACTCCTAGGCGAACTACTTTTGTAATCTTGTACGGACCTTCCCAATTTGCTCCAAGCTTTCCTGCATTCCTCTCGACGGTGTTTTGGAACACTTTTCGAAGAACGAGCTCTCCTTCTTTAAATCTTCGACTTCGGACATTTTTGTTGTAGTATCTTGCCGTTACTTGTTGGTAGTTCTGGATTCGGATTAGAGCCTGGTCGCGCCTTTCGTTGACCAAATCAAGTTCGTCCAGCATCATTAAGTGATTCAATCCCTCCTGTCCTGGAAGAAGTCTTCGCCGAATACCTGGGAAATCCACCTCGGGGGGGATTACGCACTCCACTCCATAGACTAGAGCGAATTGGGTATTTCCAGTGGCTCGGCGTGGAGTTGTGCTATGCGACCAAATGACTCCTTCGAGCTCGTCTGCCCATCGTCCTTTCTTGGCGTCGAGCCTATTTTTCAGACCGTCTAGGATCGTCTTGTTGGCTGCTTCGGCTTGTCCATTCCCTTGGGGATATCTTGGTGTAGATTTGCTCAAACGAATTTTCCATTTCTCGCAGAAAGCTTCAAAACGCATTGAGATGAAGTGGGATCCGTTATCGGTGACTATCTCGTAGGGGACCCCGTATCGGCATATGATATTTTTCCAGACGAAGTGTTCGACTTGAGCGTTCTTTATGCTCGCGTAGGAATCGGCCTCGACCCATTTAGAAAAATAATCCGTGTGGACGACCAGAAAGCGCTTCTGCTTCGATCGATGTAGAGGTCCGACTATATCCATCGACCATCTCATGAAGGGATAGGGTGATGAAATCGATGAAAGCAGCTCGGTAGGTTGGTGATTTGTAGGTGCGTGCCGTTGACACTTCTCGCACTTTGCCGTAAACTTCTCACAGTCCTTGACCATCGTGAGCCAGAAGTAACCGTGTCGTTTTATCTTGATCGCGAGTGACCTTCCGCTAGAATGATTTCCGCACGCACCACTGTGCACTTCGTGCATTATCTTTCTTGCCTCCGGTCCCTCGACGCATGTCATGAGCAGTCCTGAAAATCTTCATTTAAACACTTCGCCGTCGACGTGGACATATCGCGCGGCCTAAGCTCTTAATTTGCGGGCTTCCCACTTGTCGGATGGTACTTCTCCATCGGCGATATATACTCGGATGGCTCCGAGCCATTCTTTATCGCAGCCGTACTCCAGCTCGGCTAGTGAGGCGTCTTCGTCTATAGCGATTGCTTCGCCGTTCTCTGGTTCCTCCTCGGAAGGATTTATCAGCCGAACTCCTTCTACCTCTTCTATGCTTGGTCGTTCGATGAATTCGACCGGAATTGTTCGTCGGAGATCCGGATCTATAGTTAAAGCAAGTGCTGCCAAGGCGTCTGCCGAGGTGTTTTTACCTCGGGGTATTCGTGTGAGCTCGAACTCGTCGAACTTTTGCACCAAATCTCGGACCAGTCCAAGGTAAGCTCCCATTCATCTATTCTTCGCCTCGTACTCTCTGTTGAATTGACATGTTACGAGCTGTGAATAGCAAAAGGCTCTTATCTTTCGAACTCCGATTCTCTGTGCTAGTCGTATGCCAGCGATCAGTGCTTCGTATTCTGCTTCGTTGTTCGAGGCGTGGAAGTTCAGGAGAAAAGACTGCTCCAATTCCCGAGCCGTGTTTAGATGACGAGCCGTCGACGTGCAGCATCCATACATCGTCTGGGGTTGGCTCGGTAGTCGCCTCGGTCGGAAGTTCAATGAGAAAATCTGCGAGCACCTGTGATTTCGCAGATGACCTGTTCCGATACTCGATGTCGTACTAGCTCAATTCTATGGCCCATTTGGCGAGCCGCCCAGATTGGCTCGGGCTGTGCAGGATCGAGCGTAGCGGAAGGGTAGCGAGCACAACAATCGAATATGATTGAAAGTATGGACGCAGCTTGCGAGCCGATACTACAACGGCTAGGGAGACCTTCTCGATCTGGGGGTAACGGGTCTTGGTATCGGTCAGTGTCTGGCTGACGTAAAAGATGGGTTTCTGTTTGGATCGCTCTTCTCTAATCAGCATCCCACTCACAGTCGTAGCGGATACGGCGATGTAGAGGAAGAGGGGCTCTCTTTCAACTGGTTTCGCCAGGATCGGCGGGCTCGCCAGATAACTCGCCACATATCGTCGATGTATACCTCCATGGTTTTTCCGAGCTGATCTGCGAACATTTTATTGACGAGCCATTGATATGTTGCCCCTGCGTTCTTGAGTCCGAACGGCATGACCTTGTAGCAGTATATCCTGCGATGCTTATGCCTGGCATATCCTCCGCTATCCAGGCGAAAGTGTTGATATTCTCCTTGAGGAGGGAAAGAGGCTCGCTTCTCAGAGGTTCTTTTAGCCTAGTTCCGATTTCAACGCGTCGTTCTGGACATGCTTCGTCTATGCACACCGAGTCCACCGCATCACATACCGGCTCGGTGCGCGTTTCGTGGCTCTCCACGATCTGTAATTGCTATAAGAGTTTCGAGAGCTCGTTCGCAGGCTCTCGGTCCGTCTTCGGCTTTTTGCGATCTACGTCTGCTCGTGCATCGGTGACGGGGTTCCTCAACTTGTGCTCTGCCAAGAAACACATTCGCGACTCCTTCTGGTTTCCCCAAATCGTTTTGATGCCTGCTGGAGTTGGGAATTTGAGGCAGAGGTGATAGGTGGAGGGGACCGCCCTCATCGCATTGATCCATGGAGTTCCCATAATCATATTTTAGATTGCTGGGTGATCGGTGACGCAGAATTCGACGATTCTAGTGACTCCGCCAGCTACCACAGGGAGCCTAATTGTGCCCATAGTCATCGTTGTTTCTCCTGAAAATCCGGTTAGAGGTTTGGGGATCACCGTCACCTTGGAGAGATCGATTCCCATCCTTCTGAGTGTCTCCCTAAAAATGACGTTTACCGAGCTCCCAGTATCGATGAGCACTCTCGCTACATCGTGGTCTCTGATCGTCAATTCGATCACAAGTGGATCGTTGTGCGGTCTATCTATCCCTGCTGTTTCCTCCTCGGCGAACGAGATCACCGTATTCGGAATATCGGTCAGTTCTGTCCAATTTTCCTTCGCTTCGGCTCGGTGCTGATAAGCCTTGATGGAAGACACCGTGTCTTGGTAATATTGAGATCCACCCATGATCATGTTGATCCTTTGTCTCGGCTCGGGTCACTCTTCGGGTTCGCCTCTCTTGTCGCGCTTGGTGTTATCACCCCGTCGGGGAGGATTTGCGGGTTCTGTCGTGCCGCTCGACTCGGTTCCCTCTTTTGGCTCATTAGGGACGAGGTCTTTGAGATTCACCGTGTTCTGGAGCTCTCTCGCCGCCATCTAAGCCGCGAGTTTGGCTCCTAGAGTTCAGCATTGTGCCGTTGAATGCCCATAGGTCTGGTGATACTCGCAGAACGTCTTTTCGTCGTAGTTGGTGGGTCTTCTTACCTAAGTGTTGCTGCGCGGCTCTCTTTTTCCGCGTCCAGCGCCCACTTGGTAGTTGTGGGCACCTCCGTTTCTTGGTTCGTCCGAACTCTGCGTTGTTGCGTTGTTTGATAGATTGCCTTTCTTCGAGGGGCGCGTCAAAATTGAGCTCCGGATCGCTGCTTTCGTTGCTTCGTACTGTTCGTCCAGATTCTTCATCTCTTCTTCGTTTACGACGAAGTCTGACGACCGATGCAAGGCATCTTAAATCGTTTGTGGCGTGTTGAGTGCCATTTCCCGTCGGAATTCGGATTTGTACCACAAAGACCGCTAAGAGCTTCGAGTGCAGCCTTGTCGCTTAATCCTTCTACTTTGGATACGACCGC